CCCCTGGAGGGGGGATCCAACCCGAGGGCGGGCAACTATAAACCCATCAGGACCAGAACAACAGACAGCAGCATGGCGAAATCGCCGTTCACCAAAACGGCCTTCGTGATTTCGCACGATCGCACTGTTAGCCTGAGAGAGGGCCTCGAATGAAGCACTGCCAAACGCTTTCAGCTGGGGGCATACGCGATGCGATGAATGCCTCGCCAAATAGGCAGAGAACACGAATGGCCCCTTTGAGGGAAATTGCCGCGCCATGCGAGAGGCTCCACACTAATGGCACCTGGCCGGTGAGAACAATCTTGCGCATCAGACACTTCAGAACAACAACAACTAAGAAACGCGCGCGCCTCAAATCAATATTCGGGGACTCGAAGCCCACCCCGCGATGCTGTTGGAGGCGCGACGACATGGGTGAACCATCATCCAAACAAGCCCCCGTGGCAATGGCAGCGGGAGCTATGCTCAAGGTTTCCCTGCTGCCCGAAGCGGACGCGCAATGATTTGTAGCTGCGCGCGAGACCAGTCCAGCCCTTGCTACGTGAGGAAGACTGCAAGCCTTCTTATCCATATCGAAAATCATGGACGTTGGCATTCCAATTGGCCAATTCAGCTTCCGTGCCACCTTCGCCAGAAGTCAATTAGAACATCCTTTGCAAATCTTGCGCCGTCGGGCGGGTCTTGATCGCTCCGCTGAAATTTCTTCCGCGCGGTCCTGTGCCTCGTGGAGCAAAGATTCCGGAAAACCGTGCGACTTCAGCTTTCTGGCCCAATCGATATTGCTTGGTGTAACTCTCCAGACCGCCGTTTACGTAGATGCCTTCGCCGCATTGATCTCCGGCGCTGGCTCAACGCATGCAGTTGTTGAGTAAGAGAGGGTTCCAAGTCTCAACCTGCTTGCCGCAGCTGTCATCGTAGCTGTCGGCGCTGGCGCAGCATATCAACCACTTGCTGAGAACGCCGTCGGTGGCCAGGATATGGTTCAGGAGGTGTCGCAAAGTAGCTTAGTTCCATCGTCTCCAACAATTTGCGATAACCGGCCACGTTCAGAAGTGGGTGGTTGCCCCCCTGGCCTGATCTGAGAACATTCCGCACTTGTGTCAATCATTCCTCATTTTTCCAACCACCATCACACATTCTGATCTGTTTGTGCCACGCCTCAATGATTCCATCCATGGTTCTCGATGCCACTTGATCTGTTACAGGACTGAACAATCCTACAATCCTGTGCGATACGACTAGGAAGCCCCATCGCATCCGCGAGCCAATGAAGAAGACGGGCGTGCACTGGTACGCGATCGCGAGGGAGTCGCGATGGTATCGTTTGGGGGCCGTGGAACCAAGATGTCGTCAATCTGTGAGCTTGAGCCTGTTGCACACATTCCATGAGCTTGAAAAATACATCTGCTGAGTAGAGCTGTCGAGCCCGTGCGAAATCATCCCCAATACCGTCTGATTTGACATCTGCCCACTGCTCATGTCCAGCCACACGTTGAAGACCGCAGCCAAGGTTGATATCCAACCGCACAGTAGGAAGACGTCGATGCGCTGCCCAAAGGAGGCCACGTCGCCAAATAAGGAGAATGTCGCTTGCTTTTTTGGTAAGTTCGTACTTCCTTTTGATATCTTGGTGGTGGCGAGAAGTACAGGTTGCAGGTGCCAAAATCGTATCGCGTGCTTCTGGCCCTGATGGCTAGACCACGACCTGCAGGAGGAACCATCCAGACATCAGTAAAACTACGCCTTGAAATTTGGGGCCCACGAATGATAGCACAGCCTGCTGAACTAGTGGTATGTGGTCCTCGACGCCACCCTGCCGAAACGCATCAACGGGCCTCGCCCCCTTCAGCGGCAGAGATCAGTTTTTTTTTTTTTTTTTTTTTTTTTTTTTTCCGCTGTGCAGGTGATTCCTTGCCGAACTGCTTCTCACGTGTACCACTCAAGGCAATCGCATCCATGTTGGAGGCCCGCCCAAAAATCTCTTGAAATCGCATCGCGCACGAAGCAGAGAGTGGGTTGTACTGCAGGGCAGACAACGCCTTCATGAGGCCTGGCCGACAGCCGCCACGGTGCAATTCACAACAAATGTAAAGACGAGGTGCAAGCCAAGATATTATCGTCGAATCTGTGTGATAGTGCCGAAACGTTGGTGCGCTACGATTAGCGGAGTGTGTCATCTGAGAAAGGAGTGCCTGCACAGAGGCCAATTGGAGGAGGAGGAGGAGGAGGAGAATGACGTGGGGGGAGGAGGAGGAGGAGGAGGAGGAGGAGGAGGAGGAGGACGAGGAGGAGCGAGAGGATAATGAGGAGGATGGAGAAGGAGGATGGAAGAGAAGAAGGGGGAGGAGGGTGGATGGGGGAGGAGGCACTGACGTGTTGCATCGCGATTTTCAGGGCAGGGCTAGCTGTTCACAATCTGACACACCGCGGCGCGCAAAATATTGAAATCACATCTCCTGCTCGGCCGCGTAGCATCCGCCCACCCCTCCCTCCATTCCTGTCTCCTCGACCTCTGCTCTCTCCACGTTCAAAAAAAGACAACACACAAACCACATACACACATACACATACACACACATCATACAACGCATACAAGCCCCCCCACACACACATCCCCGCGCACACACATCACACATCACACCGCGCGCAGTTGTGTATATATTTATATGTATATATATACATATATATACATATATATATATATATATGTATATATATATGTATATATACACATGTGTATACATATACGACCGCCCTGCGGGCGGTAAGGAGGTTGGGAGGGGGATTGACACCCTGACTGACCTCCAGCCGGTCACCTTGATAACCGCATGCCGATGATAATAAAGGGACCCCCCCCTTCAGTGTTTAGAGTTGATTATCGTCGCCCTATACAAAATTCAAATTGGGCGGCGAGCGCTGAGGCCGAACTTCATTATCACCTCGAAACGCTATGTTGGAACTTTCCATGTTTCCGTTATTATTCTTTTTTTCTTCTTCTCTTCTTCTTCTCTTCTTATTATTATTCTACTTTCCTCTTCTTCTTTTATATTTCTCTGTCCTCACGCTCGCCTGAACTTTTTTATCCCTGGGGTTGATTATCCATGGAAAATGAAGCACATGAGCTACCCTACACGAGCACTTCAAAAAATCAATTTTCATAAAGCGCTTGTAAATTAAAACTGATAGATTTGGAACTTTGGATTTTTCCTTTCTTCGTCCTCTTCTTAGTATCCTCTTCTTCTTCTTTCTTATTACTATTCTACTGTATTCTTCTTATTTTATATTTCTCTCTGTCCCCACGCTCGCCTGATTTTTTTATCTCTGGGGTTGATTATCCATGGAAATTGAGGCACATGAGCTACCCTACAAATTGATGATTTCGAGGATGTCTCAAGCGAAATAAGCAATAGTTTGACTGTGTCTCAAGCGAAATAAGCAATAGTTTGCGGATGTTTCAAGCGAAACAAGGGATTTGTCGAGGATGTCTCCAGCGAGATAAGCCATTGTTGAGGATATTTCTATGAAAACTAAACGCCAAGGATGTCTCAAAACGTGCTCGGCTTCGTCTCCTCTTGATCATCTCTTACTTCGAGATTATGCTGAGGTCTGCTGGGCTACTTTTATTATCTCTCCCTGAACCCCGAACTTTATTTTCCCCTAGTGTTTATTCTCACGGGCATGAGGTTATCATCTCTCTTTCTCTCTGTTTCTCTCTCTCTCTCTCTCACTCTCTGTGTCTCTCTCTCTCTCTCGCCTTCTCTCTCTCTCTCTCCCTCTCTACCAGAATTCCCTCCACCACAATGATGATCGCGATGACGATGAGGTCCCACTATCTACCTATCCGTCGACCGACCTATCGACAAAAATGAATTGATGGATTGGGTTGGGTGGATTGGATTGGATGGGATAAGATGGATTGGATAAGATCAGATGGGTTGGATTAGAAGAGATGGATTGGATAAGAAAAGATGGATTGGATTGGCCCGCCGCAGGCGCAGAAACAAATGAATTGATGGATTGGGTTGGATGGACTGGATTGGCTGGGATAAGATAAGATGGGACAAGATGGGTTGGATAAGGTAATATGGGTAGGATTGGACAATATGGATTGGATGACATAAGCTGGATTGGATAAGCAAGCCCGCCGCAAATGACGAAACAAATTCGGACATTCGGACAGTCGGCCTGCAGTCGAGGTGCCGCGGGGGCACAGCAGGGGGGCGACGAAAAAATGAATTATGGAATTAGCGACATGCGTTAGCGCCGGGACGCCCGGGACACCCGGGACACCGCCCCGCCCAACTGGGACACCTCCCAGCCACCGGCGGACGGGAACGGACTTTCGCTCCTACTTCGGCCTAGCTACAGGAGGATCACGCGCAGCTTCGCCTCGCCCGCACGCACAACACGAACACGAAACCGAAACCGATTTCCCGGTGGGGGGTCCCTGTTTCACTGCGATCTCACCCCCCAACCTCCGACATACATACAAATCACAAACAATGCGTACACACACATCACACAACGCACACACATACACACCACACAACGCACACACATACACATGTACCAACACAAACATACTGCACACCGCGCAGAAATACAAATACCACACAACAGCACACCACACAGCACGACGAAACAGATCGATCCACCTCCTCCTCCTCCTCCTCCTCCTTTTTTTTTTTCCTTCTCCTCCTGCCTCCTCATGCCCTTCCTGCCTCCGATCTCAACAGAACAACTCGATCCTCCTCCTGCCCCTTCCTACTAAGAACAGGCAAAAGCAGCACCACCACCAGCACGAGAAGTCAGGGGGGGTCCTCCTGGTGGTGTGGTCCCCCTTTCGCTCAAGACATCCCTTATCTCCAGCTCGGGGAGGCATCGTGGACCCCCTTGCTGGAGGTGGCCCCTCTGGTAATGGTAGTGGTGTCGCATCTCCTTCCTCCAACCCTATTGCCCCTGCCCTTCCTGGTAGCCGTGTGAAAAGCAAGGAGAGGTGCCTCATCTCCTGGTTGTCCGCGTCCACCAAATCCCCCAGCGCGCCTGGTCCAACCTTCTCCGCGAGCATCCGGAGCTCCTGCCACGGCTCGCCGTCGCCGTAACCGTCGCCGAAGGTGTCGTTTTCGTCGACGTCATCGACAGAGTCCTGGTCGTCGCTATCGTGTACAAGTCATCGCACGCAGCATGTGGAATGGCAGCGCTTCGAACATAATGACAGATCAGCGTTGCGTGCATTGCGCAGCATAGCGCTGCACCGTCTAACACAATGCAGCGCCGAAAAGCGCATAGCATAGACGGGCGTCACACAACATCGCATAGCATGGCATGATTCAGCGTGGTGTTCCACGGTCAAGCATGGATGGCTTAGGATGCGCGAGGTTCTTTCAGACTGTGCCCCCCCAACCAATTTGGGCGTCCATGCTGACCACAAACACCGAAACGCCGATGGGCCGACCAGCGCCGACTACACCACCATAGTAACCGTTTCGGATTAGGAAGAACGCGAGCCCCCCAAAGCTTCCAAACGGCTCCTACGCATAGTATTGAGAAAGGCTACGACCCCGTTCTGAAGCAGCTACTACCGAGTTCCTGAACCAGAACGTGTTAACAATTATGAACAAGAATTATAAACATCAGCCCTGTAGCTTCTACAAAGTACCCATATAGACACGGAGCAGCCACAATAGAGTTTCAAAGTGGCTCCTGCAGTTTTCCAGCGGCCATCACAGTTCCGCAAACACTGCTTGCTCTTAGGGTTTGTTTTTCAATTCTACGAAACTGGGCCGTGTCTTCGGTCTGGCGGTATGTGGCCGCCGCCGTCGCCGCCCCGTCGCCGCCTCGTCGTCCCCCGTCGTTTGGGTCTGTCTGCCGGTCTGGCGGCTATGTGGCCGCCGTCGCTGCCCTGTCGCCGCCTCGTCGCCGCCCATCCCGTCGCCGCCTGAAATCTCCTTTCTGACAAAATGATGAGATCGACGTCCTCTCCCCCGGAACGAACGGTCCCCCTTATCGTATTGCGATTTACATACGGTTTTGCCCCATCGTCCATCCTAAATTTGAGTTCGTGCCAGGCCAACCAGGCCAGCAATCCCCCCACATGGTCTGCACAAAATACTACGCGCGCGCACTTCGAATATTAACAATCGTCAATGTTCGAAAATCCCTTGCAAAAAAAAGGGGGGGGGACAACAAAAAAAACGATGTGCAGACGCGCGCGTCGTCTCGCGCGCATGCCGAAATCGTTGAACACAAACCATACGTGTCGTAAGGAGTTCAAAGCCGAGTGTCCCGACAACACATAAAACACAAATAGCTCCGCAACCAGATTTATCTAACAAGCCAGCACTCGGTGTCTTTCGAATTTCTTGGGACACAATAGCGGCGTGTACGGCATGTTCATCAAACACCTCTCGCGCGCGCGTGTCGAAATCCTTCGAACGCCCTTGCGCGCGTGTTGTCGCAAGCGCCCTTCTGTAAATATGGCACGACATGCGCACGCGCGCGTCGTCGCGCGCGCATGTGGAAATCCTTGACACATGGTTTTTGCAACATGACTTTTAAAAATGCACTCGCGCCCCTGCGGATCCTCACGGAAATCTTAACATTCCAAAAGTTCCCGGACATTCTACCAAACAAGCCTCTCGCGCCGCATGTCGGCATCATTCGACCGCCCTTGCGCGCGTGCTGGGGGGGCGGGGGGGCACGGCCCGTGTCAAATAACAGCATGCAGGCCACTCTCGCGCGTGGCCCCGCGCGCATGTCGAACTCCTTCCAAAACCTTCATCACCGACGCGAAAACGCCCTCATCGTCGCCGGCGTTGGCCTTGCCGTCGTCGTTGTTATCATCGCCACCAACATCGTTACTAACATCATCATGTCTACAGTTGTCGAAGATGCCATGATATCGCGCCCGCCCAAGTCTCCGACTCGCACTGAAATGCCCGCACGGAAGTGCCCAACAATCAGCGCCACCGCGGCCGCGTCGGCCGCGCCAAACTCGCTGGCCGCTTCGCGCGCGAGCATGCTCGGGCTAGCGCACCAGGCAATTCCAAGCACTCACCGCAATCGCCGCCGCATGCGTTTTGGAAACCAAATTGTGGGTGGGTGGGTGGGGTGGTTGCGCGAGCAGTGGAGTTGACAACTCACGGCGAACAACATCCAGTGCACAACATAGATTGTACATACACATTTCAACGTGATCACATATGCCGCACAACATAAATTACAGCACGTAAAGTGCACCACCCCGACGACACGGGACATTTTGCACCAACCGTATTGCACCACACGGTTTGCACCACATATATTGTACAACGTAGACTGCATGCACAACATAAAGTGCACAACGTATATCGCACCACGCAGGTTGCACCACAAACTGCGCAACATAGCTTGCATTACGTCTATTGCACCACGCGTAGAGCACCACACTGGTTGTACCACATATGTTGCACCACGCCGACTGCATTATACATTACAAATATGTATACAGATACGCGTATATACATACAATTGCACAACATATACAACACACACATGTTATTGCACCACGTCGCCTTGCACAACAAGGATTCCATCACACATATAGCCCCACATATATAGCACATCGCGGGATGTCCCATCTACAAATGTACACACATTGCACCAGGCATGTGACACCACATGTACTGCATAATGTAGGTTGCAACACATAGGTTGAACACAACACATATATGGCACGACAATGGTTGCGCACAACAATTGCACAACGTATACTGTACAACGCATGTGGCAAACGCCATATTGCACAACATAGCCATATACGCATATGTGTACATCTTTATAACCCCATGGGATGCAAACCTATAGTGCTAGGAACACACGGTTTGAGGCTCACGTTGGCTAGCAATGCGAAACCGTTGTTACACTTATGTGTTTGAACATGCGTCGTGGGCTTCCTTGTGCAATGGTGCACGGAAAAAAAGCGGTGATTTCCCAATGCTAGCACTTGGGGGTTCTCACGTGTCTTCCAACGAGCTGGGCCTATCTGTCGGTCTAGCGGCGGTGACCGCCGTCGCCGCCCCTTCGCCGCATCGCCGCCGCCTATCATCTGGGTCAGTCGTTTGGTATGTCGGCTATGTGGCCGCCCCGTCGCCGTCCGTCGGTTGGGCTTTGCTGTGCATCGCACCGTGCTGCTTTGCATGGTTTTGCGCCGCTGCGCATAACACTTCGCATTGTTTGGGGTCCACGGCCCGTCGCCGCCTCGTCGCCGCCCACATCGATTCTCCTTTTCTAAAGACAAAATAGGATCTACCCCCCATTCCCCCGGAGTTATCACTTCACCCTTCGGGTATGTAAATCATCTATGGTTCTGACCACATGCCCATCCTAAATATGAAATCGCAATGTCAAATGCCAACCGGTATCCCCCCCCTGAGGTTCCCTGGTAAGAAACACTATGCGGTGTCATGTTTTGTTCTAGCATGACACTTTTTTCACGAATCCCTGGCAAAAAAACTGGACGAAGTGCACACGCGCGCGTCGTCGCGCGCGCATGCCGGAATCCTTCAAAAACCTTCGGTACTGGAAGGATTTCGCAATCGAGTTTCCAAAAAATACAAAAACACAAGGTTTCGCAACACTGATTTGCTAGAAAAGCTTCCGCGCGAGCTCTTGCGAAATCTTAAGAAAACCATAGGTTTTTCAATATTTTCACAACATGCTACCATACGAGCTTCGCGCGCGCATGTCGAAATCTGTCGAACGCCCTTGCGCGTGTGCCGTCGCGAGAACCCTCTGTAAAAATGAGGACGAAGTGCAGACGCGCGCGTCGTCGCGGGCGTATGCCGAAAACCTTCAAAACCCATCGGTTTCGGAAGGATTTCGAAATCGTGCGTCCAAAAAACATACAAAAACCAAGGGTTTCGCCACACGGATGTTCAACAAAATCGTGCGCGCGCGCTCTTGCGTCGTCGTCGTCGTCGTCGTCGTCGCCGTCCTCCCTCCTCCCGCGTCGTCGTCGTCGTCGTCGCCTACGTCGTCCTGTGTCTTTCCTCGTGTTCGTCGTCGTCGTCCTCTTTGGGGTCGTGGTCGTTTCCGTCGTCGTTGTCGCCGTGGTCGTCCTTCCTCCTCCTCCCTCGTCGTCGTCGTCCGTCGTCGGCGTCTCGTCGTCGTCCCTCCTATTTCGTCGCCGTCGTCGTCGTCGTTGTCGTCGTCGTCTTCCCTCTTCCGTCGTCGTTGTCGTCGTCGGCGTCGCCGTCCTTCCTCCTTCTTCGTCGTTCGCGTCGTCGCTGTCCTCCCTCCTCCCTCGTCGTTGTCGTCGTTGCCGTCGTTGTCGCCGTCGTCGTCCTTCCTCCTCTCTCGTCGTCGCCTTCGTTGGCGTCGTCGTCGTCTTCGTCTTCGTCTTCGTCGGCGTCGGCGTCGCTGTCGTCGTCGAAGTCGTCGGAGACGTCGTCGGTGTCGTCCTAGTCGTTGTCGTCGGTGTCGTCGTAGTCGGTATTAACAGGTTTTGCAAACCAACTTGGCGGTGGGTGGGTGGGATGTTTGCGCGAGCAGTGGAGATGACGACTTCAAGTTCAGCAGAGTGGATTGCACGACGTAGATTGCACCACACAGGCTGCACCATATATATATACATATATATGTATATATATACATATACATATACATATGTATATGTGCCGTAGATTGCATTCCACAGGTTGCATTTCGTAGATCCCACATGGCTGAAACACATAGGCCACGACGCGAATTGTATTTCATGGGTTGCACCACGTAGCTTGCACCGAATACACTCCGCCACATAAATTGCACTACGTACCGTGCACAACATCGGTTGCGCCACATATGTTGCACTAAGTGGACTGCACCGCGCAGATTGTGCCACATTGGTTCTCTTTCCCAATCAAAAAATTATGGATCGCCCCCCCCACACAATCAGAATTATCCGCCCGCCGTTTTTCTTGCACGCGCGATGCTGCCCAATCGTCCACCCGAAACATGAATCCATACCGTCCCAACCAAGCTGATATGGACAAATGTCCGCCGCTTTCGGCAAATATTCTGTGCCCCCCACGGTCGTTTATCCGACCACATCAGTTG